AGCACCGTTCTAAAGATAAAAACAGGCGCGAAATTCAAATTTGTAACTTAAAGATGTCTAAACCCGCGGTTTCAGAGAGAAAATGGAGAATTTTCTATTTTTCAGAAAAAAAACACCTTTTTTCGAAATTTTTATTTTGGATTTTTCTTATTTTTAAGGCTCACCAAAATTCCCAAATCACTCTAAAAAGCGGCGTTCTAGGGGTAAAAATAGGCGGGAAACCTGAATTTTGCATTGAAAAATGCGCTAGAAGTCGAAAAGTAGGAAAAACGTCAATTAAAGAAACAATTCACGACTTGCACAGATCTGGAGCTACAGTAACCCTGGAAAATTCAAAAATTGAGTTAGAGACGCAGAGAAAACGAATTCTAGGCTAGATTTTTGTGCTGAATTCGAATTTAGCATTGTTTTGAAGCTACTTCGTATGGTTTAGTCTGAAAAAGAAAAAAAGATGTGAAAAAAACATTTTTTTGAAATTTTTTTCTACAATTTTAAATTTAAAAAAAAAACAATTTTCTTCTTAATATTTATTATTGTTGACAAGACATCTCTCCCTAGTTTTTTCCTCTTCTCAGATTTTTTTTCAAAAGAAAAAAAACTGCTCTTCAATACTTTTTTTTTTGTATCAAATTACATTTTTTTTCTTCTTTTTTCAACAACTTTTTTCCTTTTTTCGTTGCTATTCAAAAGTGTTCTTTTCTCCTTTTTTCACACTTTTTTCCCTTTTTTTTCCTTTTTTTTTTGAGCACAAGGAGCTAAAATAGTTATTGGGGCTCACTCTCTCGGGGGCTCTAAAATGAGCAATACTATCGGATTTCAACAATTTTCTTTCTTATTTTCTTTTGTTTTTGAAGGGAAATAAGCAAATTTGGAATTTTTGAAATTGTTTGAAATTTTGGAATTTTCAAAAAAATTCATTTTTTGAATTTTTTGAATTTTTTTTTCTAAATTCCGTATTTTTCATTTTTCTCTGTAAAAACGATTTCTAGAGCAAAATTCGAATTCCCCGCCTATTTTTACCCCTAAAAACGCCGTTTTTAGAGTGATTTGCGAATTTCGGTGTTTGCACAGCATCGGAGCTACAGTAATCCTGGGAAAATTCAAAAACTGAGTTAGAGACGCAGAGAAAACGAATTCTAGGCTAGATTTTTTTGCTGAATTTGAATTCGACATTGTTTTTGACAAAGTTTGAACGTTTTAGACAGAAAAGTCCAAAAAAATGTTTTTTGAAAAAAAAAAAATTTTGGAAGCTCTGAATTTTCGAATTATTGAATTATAGAATTTTCGACTTCTTGAATTTCTGAATTTCCCAATTTCCCTTATTTCTTTCAAAGAATTTCAAAATTCCAGCCAAAAAACACTTTTTCAGCATTTCCAGCATGGGTGGCTCCCAATCCACAGCGAGTACTCGAGCTGCAAAGTTCTCCGGAGGAAACCGTCGAAGTGTTCGTGCTGTAAAAAGTGCTCCAGCCACTGAGCTCAATTCGAGACGTGCCACGTCATGCCGGAACACCAATCGAAATGTTAAGGAATTCTCGAAATTCTGGAGTGATGGTGAGAATCTCTAGAATGAATTATAAACCATCTGAAAGCTCTAATTCTGACTTTTAAAATGCGCTAAAAATCAAATTTCTAGCTTTATTCTGAGCTAAGATACAGTGGTTTACATTCTAAAGGCGCAGTCAGCTAGAGGTGATCAGCGGCTAGCGCGACAGGAAGGGAGCGGCAGCTGTCGCGCCTGCCGCTCATTACCTCCAGCTGAGCGCGTCCTGCGAACAAAACGGACGATAACTCGGCTCAAAATTAAGCTAGAGTATTGGCTTTTGCACTAAAATGTTCTAAAAGTTTTGGGTAATAAGCGCTAAAAAATCAGACCAGAGAGACGCAGAGAAGCGAGAGAGCGCTCTCGTTTCTCTGCGCCTCTCTCAAATGCAAAAATGACTATAACTCGCTTCAAAGTAGTGCTAGAAACTTGATTTTTAGCGCATTTTGATTGTTAGAGGTTGTATTTTAAGATATTTTTTGAAAATTTTTGGAAACTTTCTTCGATTCTGAAAAAAATTCCAAAAAAAATTGTTTTTTCAGCCGGCTCTGTAAACCGCTCTAAATCGTCGAATCGAACATCAACCAAACAGAACAGAAATGGGGTGTCAAATGGAAATGGAAGTATTCGAAGGAACAGAACACAGTGTGAGTTTTTGAGCTAGCGATCGTCTAGCTCAGAGCTACGGGCACCCCAAACTGTCAACTTTGAGCCCTTTTATCTAGTTTGAGCCCTTATATCTCACTTTCTGTAAGAGCTATCAAAAATTTGTCAACTGATAAAATGTAGCTGATAAATGACAAACATTTTAACAATTGACAAAATTTTGATATCTCTCACAGTAATCGAGATAATTGAGCTTAAAGTGCATGTATCCCACCTTTGTGGTACGCCAGCCAGTGCTCTTACGTTGAGCCCTTATATCTCACTTTCTGTAAGAGCTATCAACATTTTGTCAAAAGATAAAATGTAGCTGATAATACGCTTAACATTTTATCAATTGACAATGTTTTTATATCTCTTACAGTAATCCAGATAATCAAGCTTATATTTTCAGCCGTCGACATGCGTCGCACCAGTAACTGTTTACCCGTTCCCGGAAGAGCTGTAACGCCTTCTGCATCTCCAAAAATCAAAAATGAACGAAGAGCGACAAGTTTCAGAAGTAACGCTGGAAGTGCCACGTCATCAACGTTGACAGTGAACGGAGAAGGACGGAAGTCGAGAAAGGGGTCAACGACGGATCTGTTGACACCGAATTCCGCAAGATCCGAGGTCTATTCGGTGGAGGTCAGATTTTGAAAATCTGAAAATTTGGAAACTAGCTTAAAACACACATTTTAGCAATTAAAATGCGCTCAAATTTAGTTTTCTAGGCCTATTCTCGCGCGAGTTATAGCCATTTTTGCATTTAAAAGACGCAGAGAAACAATTTAAAGCGGATTACTGTAATTTTGACAGAATTACCTCAAAGGAATTGTATATCACCTGAAAGCTCAAAATCTGAAAATCAAAATGAACCGAAAATCGAGTTTCTAGCTTAATTCTGAAGCGAGTTATAGCCTTTTTTGCAATTGAGAGACGCAGAGATATCTCGCTTCTCTGCGTCTCCTCAAAACTTCAAAGCGATATATCTCAGCTCAGAATTAAGCTGGAAACTTGATTTTTGACGCATTATGATTGTCAGATTTTGAGCTTCCAGATGATATAAAAATTCTTGAAGGTATTCTTCTCAAAACTACAGTAATCCCTTCTTTAGAGACATTCGAAATTTTTGAGATTTCTAAATTTTTCGAAATTTTCGAATGTTTGTGGAAATGCGGGATATTCTTCAATTTTAAATTTATATGAAAATTCTGAATTTTCGAATTTCTGAAATTCTCGAAATCAACTAATTTTCGAAAAAAAAACTGATTTTGTTGAAATTTTGCCATTTTTTCAAATTTTTTGTGGCAAGTTCTAAATTTTCTAAAAATGGCTTAAAATACAAATTCTCACAATCAAAATGAGCTAAAAATCAGCTTTTTAGGCCTATTCCAACGTGAGTTATAGCCATTTTAAGAGACGCAGAGAAACGAGAGCGCTCTCGTTTCTTTGCGTTTCTGTAGTCTGCTTCTTTTTGTGCTAACTTATTACCCAAAACTTTCGAAACATTTTAGTGCAAATATCAATACTCTAGCTTAATTTTGAGCCGAGTTATAGCCCTTTTTGTTCGCAAGGCGCGCTCAGCTGGAGGTGATGAGCGGCAGGCGCGACAGGCGCCGCTCCCTTTCTGTCGTGCCAACCGCTGATCACCTCTAGCTGAATGCGCCTTCAGAACAAATTGGTCCATAACTCGCTTCAAAACTGCGCCAGAAACATGATTTTTAGCCCATTTTAAAGGTCAGAATTAGAGCTTTCCGGTGATATACAATAAACTATTAAAAAAATTTCAGTTCAACCAAGCAGCGATCGCCGCCGCTCGCCTGAAGCGTCTCTCCTTGACGCCGTGCCCAGAATCCAATTTGTCACGTCATCAGCATCGTTCAAATTCTCAGAAAAAGAATTCTGGAGCCGTCACGTCATCTAAGAACTTAACACCAAGCCATGCGAACCGCCACTCCCAACATCGCCACTCGTATCAGAACTCTCCGGAAACTGCGATTTATTGATTTTTATCGATTTTTCCTGATTCATCTATTTTCTGATATTTTTACTGAAAGCTAATTTTTCTTTGTATATATAAATATATTTTTTTCCCATAATAATTCGAAAATTTCCCAAAATTTAGAAATCTCAAAAATTTTAGAAGGGATTACTGTAGTTTTGAAAAAAAAAATGGTTTTAGCAATTTATATATCATCTGAAAGCTCCTTCAAAGTAAGCTAAATATCAAGTTTTTAGCTCAATTCTGAAGCGAGTTATACCCATTTTTGTATTCAAGAGAGACGCAGAGAGGCGAGAGCGCTCTCGTTTCTCTGCGTCTCTCTTAAATGCAAAAATGGCTGAAACTCGGGTTAGAATGGACCTAGAAAGATGGTTTCTTTTGCAAATTGATTGCTAGAAATTGTATTTTGGGATGGTTTCCTAAAAACCAGAATTCGCTAAAAAATAAGTTCCGGAATTTTCAAAATATTCAAAAGTCAGAAAATATAGGTAGGCAAGATCACAGTAATTCGAATTTCAGAAATTTCCGTCATTTTCGCGTGTCCCAGATGTCTGGAAACATAGAAACTACGGTTCCAAGTGCCACCTGCCACCTGACAGGTCCCTAAATGACCAATTGCTCAGTCTAATAACCCCCTAAATGACCGTAAACTACTCTTTGGACGCCGCCACTGCTTCAGCATGGGCTGTAATCGTAGTGATATTCAAATGGAAGGGTAGTTTATGGAAATTGATTTGGCGAGAGACACTTGGATGGACCATTCTCATGGCTGTCCTTTATTCGGTTTATGTTTATGGGCTGAAAGTGAGTTTCCAAGGAATTTTTAGGCTAAACCATTCGAAATAGGTCAAAAATGATGCCAAATTCAGAATCAGCACAAAAATTTAGTCTAGAATCGGTTTTCTCTGCTTCTCTAACTCAATTTTTAAATTTTTCGGGTTACTGTAGCTTCGATTCTGTGCAAACACCGAAATTCGCAAATCATTTTAAAAAACGCCTTTTTAGGGGTAAAAATAGGCGAGGAATTTGAATTTATAAATATTGAAAGTCTCAAATTTCGTTTTCATGAAGAAAATCAAAAAATTTCATTTTTCAGGAAAAAAAGTTTTTAAAGAAAAATGTTCTAAATTTTTTCGAATTTTTATGCTAAACCGCCAGAAATAGCTTTGAAACAATGCCAAATTCAGAATCAGCACAAAAATCTAGTCTAGCGTTCGTTTTCTCTGCTTCTCCAACTCTATTTTTCAATTTTTTCGGATTACTGTAGCTCCGATTCTGTGCAAACACCAAAATTCGCAAAAAACTCGGAAAAAAACATTTTTTAGAGGTAGAAGTAGGCAAGAACTTGAGTTTGAAGTTAAAAAATGTCCTAATTTTGGTTTTCATTTAGAAAATCCCATTTTTAAGGCTCATAGAGCAAAAAAGCCTTCAAAAGGGGCGGAGCCTATTTTACCCAAATATAGCCATGTTTGTACTCATTTTGAAGCGCTTCACAAGAGCTTTGAAAATATATAAATTTCATAAAATTTGGACTAAAACCCGCTGAGTTACATCGCTTTTCCATAAACTACAGTACTCCTTCCAGGGCACCGAACATGAGCAATACTACAAAACGCTGTTCGATTTGACCAAGGATGTTCCAATGGATGGAACGCTGATGTTTTTGATTTCCTATATGATCTTCAATTGTTTGACAAGGTACGGTACTTTTGGCTTGGCGCCAAAAACTTTTAATTTCAAAAATTTTCCAAAATTCCAAATTTCCAGATGGCTGAAAAAGTTCCGATGTTTAGGATGGCCTGAAAATGTGGCACTGATGTTTAAGCAGCATTTCAATAAAGAAGCGGTAGGTCATAACCCTTATTTTCAGAAAATCTGTAATTTTGAAAAAATTAGGCTCCGCCCCTTTTTTAAAGCCAAAAATCAAAATGTTTGCTCTAGGCGCCTTGCAAAAGTAGAAGTTTCTCCATGAAAACGCAATTTAGGACTATTTTACATGCGAAATTCAAATTCTCCGCTCATTTTTACTTCTAAACCCACGCTTTCAGAGTGGTTTTGGAATTATGGTGTTTGCACAGAATTGGAGCTACAGTAATCCCGAAAAATTCAAAAATTGAGCTAGAGACGCAGAGAAAACGAATTCTAGGCTAGATTTTTGTGCTGAAATGGAAGCTGGCATTGATTTTGGCCTATTTGTATTGGTTTGGCTAATAATTCAAACCAATGTTTTTGTTTTGAGTTTTTGTCCAAATTTTTTTTTTATTTCGAAAGTTTCTCGGTGAAAACAGAACTCAAGATTTTTTTCAGTTCCAAATTCAGATTCCCCGCCTATTTTTACCCCTAAAAAGACGCTTTTTAGAGTGATTTCGGAATTTTGGTGTTTGCACAGCATCGGAGCTACAGTAATCCTGGGAAAATTCAAAAATTGAGCTAGAGACGCAGAGAAAACGAATTTCTAGGCTAGATTTTTGTGCTGAAACTGAATTTGACATTGATTTTAGCCTGCTTCAAATAGTTCAGCTCAAAAAATTGGAAACAAAAAATTTTTTTTTGGGAAATTTTTTAAAAGTTTTGTCTGAAATTGTCTGAAAATCTAGAAAATCTGAAATTTGCAGTTCACTCGACACGAGCAAAAATTGATCAACCAAACGGTGGCTCGATATTTGACCGTATTTTATATTCTGCTATTTCGAGATGTCTCATCCGACGTTCGAGATATGTTTCCCACTTTTGACGATATGGCCGATTCGGGAATTTTGACGCCGTATGTTTAGAAAATTCGGATTAGCTCGAAGAGAGCTTCAAAAAGAGTATAAACATGACTATATTTGATGAAAATTAGGCTCCGCCCCCTTTTGGAGGTTTTTTGCTCAATGCGCCTTAAAAAGGTACAAGTTTCTCGATGAAAACAAATTCTAGGACATTTTTAAATGTTAAATTCGAATTTCCCACCTACTTTTACCCCTAAAAAGTTGTTTTCCCGAGGGCTTTGCAGATTTTGGTGTTTGCACAGAATCGAAGCTACAGTAATCCTAGGAAAATTCAAAAACTGAGTTAGAGACGCAGAGAAAACGAATTCTAGAGTAGATTTTTGTGTTAATTTCGAATTTGAAGTTAGTTTTCACCTATTTCAAATAGTTTAGTCTTAAAAATAAGAAAAATCCAAAAAAAAAATTTCGAAAAAAGGTTTTTTTTTCTGAAACATTGAAATTCTCGATTTTCTCTCTGAAAACGCAATTTCAGACATTTTTAAATGCAAAATTTGAATTTCGCGCCTGTTTTTACCCCTAGAACGGCGGATTTTAGAGTGATTTGCCATATTTGGTGTTTGCACAGAATCGGAGCTACAGTAATCCCGGGAAAATTCAAAAATTGAGTTAGAGACGCAGAGAAAACGAATTCTAGAGTAGATTTTTGTGCTGAAATGGAAGCTGGCATTGATTTTGGCCTATTTGTATTGGTTTGGCTAATAATTCAAACCAATGTTTTTGTTTTGGAAAAAAATATTTTTCAAATTTGACTTAATTTTGAATCCAAAGTTTTTTTTATTTCGAAAGTTTCTCGGTGAAAACAGAACTCAAGACTTTTTTCAGTTCCAAATTCAGATTCCCCGCCTATTTTTACCCCTAAAAAGACGCTTTTTAGAGTGATTTCGGAATTTTGGTGTTTGCACAGAATCGGAGCTACAGTAATCCGGAAAATTCTAAAATTGAGCTAGAGACGCAGAGAAAACGAATTCTAGGCTAGATTTTTGTGCTGAATCTGAATATAACTTTGATTTTGGTCTATTTCAAATGGTTTAGCCAAAAATTAAAAAAAAATTGTGAATATTTTTCAAATTCCAAATTCCAGCGACGAGGTGCATGTTTTGAAAAGTAGCCGTCTGGACCGTCATTCTCCGCACTATTGGATTCCGATCGATTGGATTGTGACACTGATCAGAACGAGATATGAACCCACACATTTTATTAATAATAAGCATGGACAACGAGTTCGAAATCGAAAAATGGGAATAATGACGGAAATGGAGTACTTGAAGTTTATCAATGAGGTTTATTTAGTTTTCAACTATTTTCATAGAGTTCTACTTGTTTAGAGCTTTAAAATGAGCCCAAACACGACTAGGCTCCGCCCACTTTGGTTTTTCGGGCGCGTCGCGGTCGGTGCGTCGCGTGTCGAGGTGAAAATCAAAATGGCCGGAGCCTAGCCGTGTTTAGGCTCATTTTGAAGCACTCGGCAAGATAAGTAAGAATAACGCAAAATATTTCAAAAAATCTTCAATTTTCAGCAAAAAAAACTGAAATTCGAACAAAAATTCAGAAAAAAAACGCATTTTACCTTTTTAAAAGTTTTTTTTCAAAGTTTAAAAATTTTACTTATTTCTATTAGAAAATGCTTCAAAATGAGCCCGAACACGACTAGGTTCTGCCCATTTTGAAATTTCACCTCGACACGCGACGCACCGACCGCGACGCGTCTGAAAAATCGAAATGAGCGGAGCCTAGTCGTGTTTGGGATCTTTTTAAAGGTCTTGATAAAACAAAACCGGTGAAACCAATGATTTTTGAGAATTTCGAGTTTTGAGGAGTTTGAGAAACCGGTTTCCAGTTGCAGTATAGCGCGTTTGCCGTTTTTTCTTATCGAATTTTTTGAGAATTCAGATTTTTCAAAAAACCGTCTTAAAATACACTTTTTAGCTGATAAAATGCAACAAAAATCAGTTTTCTAGGCCTATTCCAGCGCGAGTTATAGCCATTCGGAGAGACGCA